AAAGCATTGACCCATGTCACTTCAGTTTTGTGTTACTTCACTATACATAAATTATATTTCAATTAAATGCATTAAAAAATAAATGCAAGTGCCTAAAGAATTCCTGTTATGAAACTCAAGAATGACTCTTCTCATTTTCCCTCTGATCCAGTGAAAGAAAACTCACCCAAGGCCCCAAGACCCAGAGCAGAGAAGACAAGAAGACATGGCAGCATCCTCATGCAGTCCCAGGACACCAACGGGGAGAACATGGACTGTGACCCTGGAAAGATGCTGACAATTATTTGGCTGTGCTCACTTTCTAGCTGGAGCACCCACCTTTCCACTTGGTGTACCCATCTGCCTCCTCACTGTTTTATGAGTGTCCCGAGGGCGAAAGACCAGCATCTCAGGGTACCCAGCACATATCAAGTACTCATTAAGTGGGTAATGAGGCTAAACACCTCTTCCTACTACCCTGAGCAACTCAATTTCATTTAGCTCCTACTACTATGGGAGCTCTGGTGACGTAGTGCCTAAGGCACTTGACTGCTAACCAGAAGGCTGGCAGTTCATATACACCAGCCACTCCTCGGAAGGAAGATTGGGCAATCTATTTCCGTGGTGATATCGCCTCAGAAACCCAAGGAAGGGTCACTATGAGTCAGATCCGACTCAACACCAGTGATGTGCAAGGCCTGTATCACCACTGACACATGTGATCTAATAAACCCATCATGAACTCTGTAATACAGATTTTTTTTTTAACTTCTTACCTTGATTTGGGTGCAATTTTACAAAACAGATTCATTTTACATTCAACATTTCATATATATTTAGTTTCATGACACTGATTACAATCCTCACAACATAACAGCTCTCTTCCCACCCCCTCTGTGTGGTTACCCCTTCCCTGCATCCTTCTTACCTGTGTGTGTAATATAGAATTCTTAACACCTGTTTTTATAGAAAAAGATTAGTAAGATCCAGGAGTAGTAGAAATAAGGTATCCACATACACATGGGAGGAGCTAGTGAAGAGAAAGGGATAGAGTGAGGGGGGCCCAAGAGTAGAACCAAAGTCATTTGGAATAATTTAGAATAGAGTTTTTTTATTTGGAGGAAGAGCTCAGGAGGCGAGACCAGGGAATTTTCTCAACCATGTAAGCATTCTAATCAGATAGAGCCCGGTCCCTTAGATGGGAGAGGACTTCTTAAGAAGAAGTGCGCTCACATCACCCTCAGAAATACCTGTAGCTCCTGTGCTATCCCAGCCCCAGCAGGTCAGGGTGCAGGTAGCTCACTCTTTGAGTAGTTCTTCCCTTTCAGACATGACCTCTGGGCCTGCCCTCCTTCCCCTACTGCTGCCTCCTCCAGCCTTCACCTTCCTTGGGAAGGGGAACACTCAGGCTCTGGCTTCACAGAGAGAAGAGGAAAGCCCAGGACCCTCAATAAAAGATGGCGAGGAGGAGGAAGAAGAGCTCTGAGGCTCTGAGTTGGCTTCTTCCACAGCACCAAGAGAACTCAGGTGAGTCCAGATTCAGCTGAGAGCACTGTGACACTCCCTATGAATAAGCCTGGCACTTGCTTACTCCCGGGGAAAAGCCAAGATTGCCCAACATTTCTGAGCTCCTTCCTCATCCCAGCTCTCAATAAGCCAGGCCAACCTGAGAACACCTGTGGAACATAAGGGTTGTGCCTCTGACATCTGGATATTTCCAGGAGTCTGAAGTCTGTGGATGGAGATCACTCACCCACAACTCTGAACCCCCTTTCAGCGTGGTCACCAGCAAGGGCAGGATGGATAAACAAAACAAGAAACAGTTGTCCAGTTCATTCTGACTGAAGGCAACTCCATGAGTGTCAGGGTAGAACTATGTTCTACAAGGTTTTCAATGGCTGATTTTGTGGAACTAGATCATCAGGCCTTTCTTCTGGGGCACATTTGGATGGACTCAAACCTTTCATCTTTTGGTTAGCAGCAGAGGGCATTATCCATACGCATTACCCAGGAAATCCTGGAGCAGGACTGGGGGGGGGGGAGGAGAAAGGTAAATTCCTAGCAGGCAACTCACAGTGCCTAATTCTGACCCTATGATCTATGTGTTCATCTTTCTTCCCCTCACCATGCACCCCTTCCTCCACATCAAACTGTCACCAATTACAGGATGCATGCCATAAACCAAGAATCCACAGCTCCTCACCCACAAAAGAGAGTGTGTAACAGGCATCACCTAAGTTCCACAGTCTGTAGATCTGGTCTTCCAGAACCCATGAATCTTCACCAAGGAAACTTTACATGACACTGTTCAAGAATGCAATAGGTGGATAGGTTTCTAAAGGGACCTTTAGGGCCTCTCACCATCCATTGGTGGAGTGCAGCATCTGGAGATCCTGTCAAATGGACCTTTCTTAGAACATACCCCAAATCCAGAAAGCTTGCCATTTGTGGAGCTGCTATCTCACCTTCAGGCTCAAGGTCCTCAGAAAAACCCTTCACTCATAGAAGACAAAGGGCTGTTTGAATGCCCACCACATTCTACCAGGTTCTGTTCTCCCCAATCCATCCACCCAGGCTGGTAAAAAGAAGCTCCCTGGAGCCATCTGAAAGATAGTGTATGTTGACTGAGCTCTATCCTATGGAGAGGTTGCAAGTGGAACTGAGCCAGAGACATGGCTGAGGGAGATCAAGAACTGCAGCTGAGGGACTGATACTGTAGGGACATCATAGGCTTCTTGAACATTGATGATTTCCTCAAATTTGTTATGCTTTTCCATGCCTCTGACTGTCTCCCATCTTGAATAGTAGTAAAATCTTACAATGAGAAGGGCCTGTGGTTTTACCTTGGGGACACTGAGTGAGGGAGTCAAGGAGATTTGGCTTCCCTCTGCAGCAGGGATTTGTCTCAAGGGAAAACACATAAACTGAGTTGCAAGCTAAACTGGTCACTTTTTTTTTTCATGGAACACTATCTTCACTTGAAAGAACAAATAGCAAACTATGGATTTTCAGATGTCGATATGTGGAAGACATCTCAAAATTGAACAAAATGAGTCTCTCACTTCAAGGAAAATTGAAGGTCTTTGTTACTATAATAAAATTGGAGCTTTCCAGCAAAAAATAGAATTTTGGAAATTTTATGTCTTTGAGTTTGATAGCTTTCCAATACTTAAAGACTTTTCTGATGAGATCAATGGTGAAATTTTAAACACAATTTCCATTATAAATATTAGATAATGAAATGTGTCAACAATTCCAAAAGTCTGCATAATTCAATGAATGAATATTTTTCAAATGACCTATCTATGAAGTTACAAAAACTTGATTGGATGGAAAAAAAATCCATTCAAAGCTCAGGTAGACCAATGAATTCTAATGTTGTTGTTGTTGTTAAGTGCCGTCGAGTCGTTTCCGACTCATAGCGACCCCATGCACAGCAGAACGAAACACTGCCCAATCCCGCGCCAGCCCCACAATCCCTGCTATATTTGATCCCATCATCGCAGCCACCGTATCAATCCATCTCGTTGAAGGCCTCCCCCTCTTTCGTCGACCCTCCACCCTACCAAGCATGACATCCTTCTCCAGGGAATGGTCCCTTCTTACAACATGACCAAAATAGGTGAGACGAAGTCTGGCCATTCTTGCTTCCAAGGAGCATTCTGGCTGCACTTCCTCCAGGACAGATCTGTTAGTTCTTTTAGCAGAACTAAACAGATCTGTTAGTTCTAATGTAGCGAGTAAAAAGAATTCATTGATACAGTTTTGGGTACCACATTGCAACTAACCTTTAAGAAACTACCACTTGTTGAGTTTTGGTATAGTATGGAAGAAGTTTATCCACAATTATTATAATAGTCTATTAAAATCCCTTCTCTTTCCAACTACTTATCTGTTTGAGGGCAGGTTTTCTTTATACCTTCAACCAAAACAATATATGGCAATACATTGAATAAAGAAGTACATACGAGTATCCAGCTGTTCTTCTTTTAAGTCATGCAATAAAGGGGTTTGTAAAAATACAATAAACACACCACTCTTCTCGCTAACATTTTTAAAAATACTTTTCATTAACAAATGTATTAATATACAATGGATTTATTATTGCTATTTTAAATAATTAAGAAATATTTTGAATTTTTGTTCTAATTTCTAACATGGTAAATATTAATAGATATCATCCACATAAAATATCTTTGGGATTCTCAATAACTTTTAAGTGTAAAGGGATCCTGGAGGCATCGGTGGTCAGTGGTAGACTTCTCACCTGCCATGCAGGAGACCCAGGTTCATTTGCCACCAATGCGCAGTATGTGCAGTCATCACCTGTCTGTCGGTGGAGGCTGGTACGTTATGGTGCTGAACAGGTTTCAGAGGAGATTTCAGACTAAGACAAACTGGAGAGAACGACCTGGAGATCTTTTTCTGAAAATCAGCCAGGTTCAGCCACGCTCAGGACTGGGCTTTTTTTTTTTTTTTTTTTTTTTCATTGTGCATGGGGTTGCCATGAGTTGGGGACCATTTGACTGCTAACCAGAAGGCTGGAGCTTCAAACCCACCAGCCACTCCTCAGAAGGAAGTTGGGCCGATCTGCTTCCATAGAGATACCGCCTCGGAAACCCAAGGAGGGGTCACTATGAGCTGGATTCGACTTGACTGCAGTGAGTTTGGTTTTAGTAACAACAGAAACACCCATTCCCATGGCCGTCAACTCATAGCGACCCTATAGGACACGGTAGAACTATCCCCACCCATGGGGTTTCTAATAGAGTTTCTAAGGCTATAAATCTTTGTTGTTGTTGTTGTTGTTATTGTTATGTGCCGTGGAGTCGGACCCCACTCATAGCGACCCCTCCTTGGGTTTCCAAGGCAGTATCACTACAGAAGTAGAGTGCCCCGTCTTCCTTCCGAGGAGTGGCTGGTGGGCTTGAACCGCCAGCCTTCTGATTAGCAGTCAAGTGTCTTAGGCACTACGCTAACGGAAAGCAAACTGCCACATCTTTCTCCTGGGAGGGGCTAGTGAGTGGGAACCACTGATGTGTGGGTTAGCAGCACAGCGCATTAACTAGCGTGCCACCAGGGCTCACTTAACAGCAACAAAATGCCACAGGCTGTCCTGATGCATGTAGACCTCAAGGTGGCAGTATGCACTCTTCGATCATCCAAGAGGATGAACCCACCAGAATCTCCTGCATCTCCCTATTTTCTCCGTCACTCCTCTCCACTTCCTTCTTTT